CAATGATTACATTTATTAATGTGTTTACTTTTTTAATTATTGTGCTTTTACCTTTGCACATAGTATTTTTAGTAAAGATGCCGAAAAGATGTGTGTGCAAATGTGCAGAAGGAGGTTCTCTCTACAAGTTTCCTTCGGCTTCGGATGGAGAAATGTCAAGGTATTATCCTTATTTTATTTCATGTATTTTATTCAAATTATAAAATTAGTTAAACTGAATGCTGGATAAGCGACAGCGATCGTCTGGATTCAATTTTTGTGCTTTAAAGGGGTAAAAAGAACCCTCGTATTAACTTGTGAATTCGCTATGTAAAAATCCAACCGGAAGAAGTACTCTTGGAGTTTTATCGCTTATCCAGTTAATAAAGTTTCACCATATTATCATTGTGTATATGGAAAATCTACATTAATGTAGCACACATTGCATTTCAATGTATTTATATTGTGAAAATTTTAATCATCGACAGGCTTATCGATACGTGAAGTAAACGATCACAGATTTTCGCATCAAACTGGTTTCGTGGACTTATATTAAATTCATATTTTTTAACATCGCACCTTTTTTTGTTAAATTTATTATTTTATTGTATCTTTAAGTACAATGACTTTAACCTTTTAGAAAGTTAGGTAAGATGATACGTGCTGTTAATTAGTCTTTATATCTAATTATTTTTAAATAGCATCTATTCGCGCAGTTAAATTTAGTGTAAAAACAGCAAAATATATTTGTACTTCGGGTTTCAGCTGCTTTCTAGTAAAAAGTATTAGACTTAAGTTTTTTTTAAGTTAAAGTATTTTAATTATGAAATCGGTATTTTCATATACATATGTATGTACTGCGGTTTTCAGCTGCCTTGTAGTAATAAGTCTTAGACTTAATTTTTTTTAAGTTAAAGTGTTTTAATTATAAAATTACGTAATGAAATACAATTAGTAAGTAAAAGAATTAATAATTTTAATAATAACTTAAAAATAATTATCTATTAACTTTTTAATAGTTAACTAAAATAATGGCACTAAGGTTAAAAATTTATTAAATAAAGTGTTAAAAAAATTAAATAACTTTAATGAGTTTCAGAACGTTGGCTGCAGCGATTTACGAAAGAAAAGGTTGGTAAAGAATTTTCTTACTTTTCATCAAATGGTATCGGTATTTTGTTTCATTCATCATATTTTTATTTCAATCAAATTTTTTTATATTTTTCATATCTTTTTAACCAGAGCTATCATGGATTCATCGTAGTCCGATTTTTCGTTAAATATACGAAAACGCTATCACTGAATCCGGATAGCTACGAACGTAGCTTATACATACTATGATCAGTGCTCGCATTTTCATAGATTTCACGAAAAATCGGACTACGATGGATTCATGATAGCCCAGAATAGTTTTGCTTTGCTTTGGGGTTTGGCTTTTTGCATATGTACATACTTATATTTTTCTTTCATTTCATATTATTTACTAGCTTATACCCGCGAGTTTCACTCCGCGCTTTCATACAAATATGAAAAATAATTTAATGATGTTAGATTTTATTTCTGTGCCAATTTCGTTATAGCTCGTTATTTTTTAAGCGAGTTAAGGTATTTAGGTCGTTTAAAACTATGAAATTATAAATCTCGTCTGCGCGCTATTCATACGAAAGATATCAATCCCTCTAAGTTTACCTTAAAATGGTTCCAGGTATACGACGCGTGAACGTGTAACCTTCTTGGAGGTTCCACGGCGGGTTCTAATATTTCCAACTCAAATAAGGTAACCTGGCCTTGATAAAATATCACTTCTCATTACTGTAGCAAATGCCTCAAGAGAGCTTTAGATTATAAGGCCGAACCCGGCTATCCCTTTTCCATTTAACGAAATTTATTCTGTCAGTACGGCACTTATAAAATAAATCTCCATAACAAATTTAAAATACTTATTACGTATTAAAAAGTTTTTAGTATGTATGGGAGCCGACATGCCTCCTTTTTTAATAACCAGAGGTGGGCACTACCACAAACAAGCGTGAGCTAAAAGTGAGAATGTGTTAGTGTGCCTAATTCATTTTGCATGCTGTCGTGTTCTCATCGCTGCGCTCTCGCTTGTATACGTACACGCGACGCTTACGCTCTTTTAGCACCTGCTAACTCTCTGCCCATGCCTGTTAATAACTCACATTTTTTCCATGAGCAATTGATACATTTTGTATACACAACTCCACCAAGTTCCAGTATTCTTCCACAAACACTTTCAGGGATACGTGGCAGGAAAAAGTAAATTTGTACTGGAAGTGCCACGCCCCTTTTTCTTATAACCCTAATCTTCTTCCATGAAATTAGAATTGATTTTACATACCCCAGTACCAAGTCTCAGTACTCTACCATGAACACCTCTAGAGATAAGCAGTATAAAACAGTAAATTTGTACGGGAGGAACCATGTCCCCTTTTCGAATAACGCAAATTTTTCTCAATGAGTATGGAATTAATTTTGTATACACATCTCGGTGCCAAGTTCCAGTCCTCTGCAATAAACACCTCCAGAGATATGCAGCATAGAAAAATTAATTTGCATGGGAGTTGCCACACCACCTTTTCCAATAACTCTCATTT